GAAAGCTGACGAGGTTCTGACCGAGACTTGCTCAACTGTTTATTGTGTATTGGAGCATAGAGCAAAAAAGGGCCACATTTGCACAATTTCTTTTTCTCTGATTCATTTCATATTTTCCCCCAAGGTAACTGTCCCCATGGTGAATTTCTTAACATTACCGGGCCAAGGGTGTACACACAAGGAGAGTACCCTGGTTCCTACAAGTATGGAGCCTGGGGTCGGGATCCCAAACCAGAGGCGGGGAAGGAGAACTGGTATTGGCTGGTAATGCTGACGTCCAGCAATGTATACGCCAACTACGTCCGTCGCTACTCCAGCCTGAGCTCTCTCATTGTTGGGGTGAGCACCCCAGGTAAAGAACTCTTGTGTTAGAAATGTACAACCTTTTAGCTCAGTGTGCAATACATATTTCTGCACTTCAGCACGTATTAAAGCCTTACTCATTGATCTTGGCTGGGGACAGGTTTGCTGTTGTTTTTTCAAATGTGCACAAAGCTTGGTGAAATAAGAATGCAGAGCTGTTTTAAATAAATTCAACTGAAACAGCTAATAATAATTAATTAAGCATATGTTGGGGGACTACTTTTTGCCATGGAATAATCCACATTTGGTGCTCTAGTGAGTATTTCTGGCAAAAGCAGTTGTGTGTGATTGAGCCAAAATGTAATGCAACAGAGTGATTTAGAGTTTGAGTTTTTTATGTTTTTTGGACAGCAGCTTAATACTTAGGAAAATCTCAAATTGTTTTTAGTGTCTTTTCCTAAGATTTTCTCAGCAGCACAGCACAAGCTTATAGTAATGCATTCAAATTTGCTTTCTTAAAAATGTACTTGAAAAATTCAACCTTGTTGTTCCTTTTCCAGGTAATGTCCAGATCCACTCCTCTAACCCAACCACTAACACCGTCCAGGGTCCCAATGTTGTGCTGTATGGAGAGGCCCTATACTACAACTGTTACAACCAAGATTCTGTTTGTCGATTCAACCTCACCACCAAAGCTGTTACCACCTTACAGCTACCCAAAGACACTAGGTTCGCCACTTATCTTTAAGCTCATTGTTTTAATGGGTCTTGTTGATGAAACAATTAGTGCTTTGTGTCTAAAAAGAATAATAAAATATGTATATTGTATTCTAGAATTAGAATATTGTAATTATATAAAATAAAATCTTTCTTTTCAGGTATAACTCAAAGGGTAACTTCTGCGCGCCAGGTTTTCTGGCCTGAGCGTTCTTTAGTGGTCTCACCCTCCTCCACCTGGATCAGCCCATACGGGTGTGGCCTAAGTCCTGTTTCAGGCTGGTAGTCTAGATCTACGTCTCGAGTTATCCTGTTCTTGATATTTCATGTTTCGCCAGCTTCTCTCACCGTATTTTGGCTGTAACGCGTTAGCATCCTTTTCTAAGGTTGCAGCACTC